TTCATGACCACTGAGTAAGGATTTTAGAGGGGGAGAGGATGGAAGCTCTCACTGTGCATGACAGAGAGCCATTTTCAAGCTGGGACTCAGGGCCTGGCCTTGGAGGGGTTTGTGGACAGAGACCAGGAGGCCTCAAAAGCCAGAGGATGGTTTTGAGCAATGACCAGTTGGATGAGGTTTAAAAATTATCCCCCTGCCTGCTGTGGGGACTGAGGGTGAGAGACCAAGGAGGAGGCAAGGGTCCCAGAGTCTGTGAGCCTAGGACACGGTCTGACATACAGTGGATGTTCAGTCTGTACCTGCAGTGTCCGCTTCTTCCAACCCCTCCACCCAGACCCCATCCAGGGGGAATGAAGGAGTGAGGGTTGTGTGGGCGCCAGTGCATCCTCAAGGACACAAGCTGTGTGATCCCCGAGGCCCTAGCCCACTTGGCCGATACACAGCCTCATATGCACACACAAAGGCACTGTCCTGTGCCTGGAACATAACCTTTTCTACACCTCTGCACCCTCGAGACACACACGAACCCCTCCCAGAGACGCACGCCAACGTCGCACGCAGACGTCCATGTGATCGGCCCTCACACGCCACTCCATCCAGTCATGCACTCTCCTCACACACATAGGCACACTCCTTTGTCCACGTGACACGCACACCCACCTCCAAACACCACACACAGGTCTCCGCGCACGTGTGCTCCCGTTGAGCCACCAATTCTGTACCTAATAGGCCCCTGAAGCCGCAGTGTCCGCTTCTTCCAACCCCTCCACCCAGGCCCCATCCAGGGGAACGACTGCGCAGCTAAAGCCACACGACACATCTGTCCCATTCATCCACCCCCCCCCCCCCCCAATCTCCAGTTTTTGCAGGAAGACTCAGCGGAGAGCCGTGTAGGAGGAGAACTCTGCGCTGATCCACACGTGGGTGCACAGGTCTGGGCCCACTCTGCAGAGACACGGCCTCCCACCCACGGCTGGAGAGGGCGTGGGAAGTGCGCCGGGTATGAAAGCAGTCCCGAAGACTAGAGCTGGGGAAGCGACGCAGATGGCTGAGCGCCGGTACAAATGCGGTTCCGGCAGCCGGCGCAGAAAGAAGCGGGATCCCGCAGGCACCTCGTAGATCCGGCCCCCCAAAAAGGGGGAGGATCCCCGCACCAATGCGGTCCCAGAGGCCCTCGTTAGACGCAGCCTCGTAGACCATCCCTCTTCCCTACAGGCTCCGAGCAGACGTTCAGGCGTTCCTCCGCTCCCGCTCCCCTCCCCAGGTCTCCTCCCCACCGATCCCTACCTTGGCGCCTGGCGACAGTCTCCGCGGCCCGGCGAGCGGTCAGGCTCGCTCCGAGGTTCGCGCCCCGCCCCACCCGCCTCTCTCGGGTTGGGATCTCAGAGCTCAGACCGCTGGCGCCGCGGCTCCTGGGAGCTCTCCCTCCCTCTCCCGCCGCCGCGCCCCGCCCTCGTTCATCGGTCGTGCTGCGCGGCCCGCGACGCGGCCCAATCAGTGCCCAGCACTCCCGCCCGGCTCCTGGAGGGGAGGGGCCACGGCGGGCAGTGGCTCAGGAGGGGCCCCTCCCTCTGTGGCGGGTCTGGACTTTGTCACGCCCCCGACGCCCCAATTAGAAGGCTACCTGGGCTCCCGCCAAATCCCTCCAACCCTCGGCCTGGGCCTTTTAGCCTGAGCTGGAGAGTGCTTACTTTCCAAAATCCTTTGTCTCCTTCCATCTGGGCCTGGCTGGGGCAAGGGCGCAACGTGAGTGAGGGTTTGGAGGGGGGGGTAGAGATGCGCGGTGCCTGCTAGGAGGGGGGCAAAGTGAGATCCGCGGCTAGGATGAGGCAGAGGCTGAGCGCCAGGGAGAAAGGCCAAGAATGGTAGACTCGGGAGTTTAGCCTTTTGCTGGGGGCGGGGGGCGGGGGGTAGGGGAAAGAGGAAGGGGTTTATCACAGAGTGCTAGGGTCATAGCGGATTCATGTTTGGGGAAGAGCTCTATGAAACAGGAAGCAGGAATGGCCTAGCTGGGACAGAGGTCAGGACATCTTGACCTTCACGGTGGCAATTCCTGGGGACTCTGCCCATCCCCGTACCGCTTCTCTGGATTGCTCACCAACTCTTGGTTCAATTATGCTAAGTTCACTTGTGAACACTTTGGCACCTCACCCCACCACTTGCCCAAAAGTGAGTTCCATATCATTCCCCAGACCTGGCCTCTTGTGTCCCTGTCTGGGACCAGAAGACTAGTCTGAGACCAGAAAACTAGGAGTCACTCTAGCCCCAACCAGCCCTACTCATGCTGGCTCTTAAATATCGCTGGAATCCATTCATTTCTCTCCAGCTCTCTGCCTCTCTCTTAGCTCAGGCCACTATCATTGTGTACCTTGACTGATTGCTGCAGCAGCCTCTTCACTGGCCTCCCATCCCCACCCAGTCTCACTCCTCCTACTGGCCTTTCTCCACTTGGCAGCCAGAGCAATGTTTGTTGTTGTTGTTGTTTTTAAGCCAGAGCAATCTTTCAGAAACCCAAGTCTAACTAAGTCAGGTCCTGTTTAGGAATCTTCTGTGGCTCATCAGTACCCTGAGAATAGGTCCAAACAAGCCCTCCATGATCTCAGTCCTAACCACCTTACCTGTCTAACTCCTTTCAAGTTTTGGTTCAATGTCCCTCTGCCAGGAGTCCTTCCCTATGATGTCCTCAGTGCCCAGCATGGGTTAACAGCCCCTCCTAGGGATTTCCATGTACTTAGCATCTGTTTACCTGTGTGTTCCCCCTCTGGACAGGGTCTGTGTCTAATGCACCCAACATACAGTCTGACACATCATGAGCTGACACATCATGAGCAAGTAGGTGCTCAAAAGAGGATTGTCTAATGAATAATTAGATACTGCACTCGGGTTGGATATGTGGGATTAGAATTCAGGAAAGAGGGCTGGGCCAGAGAGACAGTTTTGGAAGTTGTCCGAAAAGACCCATAATTATAAGTATAGCCATGGGAAAGGGTGAGATAACTCAGAGCAACTAAAGCAGAGGCCAAGGACAGAACACTTGCTTTTAAGGTGGAAAGATTTCTGTATCAAGTAGGATCAATTTTGACCCAGGTAACAGAAATTCCACATAAGAGCCTCGGAGAAGACAACCCAAGGTAAGTAGGTCAGCTCTGCTCCACAAGGACCTTCCAGATGTGGCTCTTTCCACTTACTACGCCAGCAACCTCTGGGTGTGACTCTCGTCTTCATGGTTCAGGGTGGTGGCTAGAGCTGCAACCATCACATAGGCATTCCAGGAAGTGTAGATAAAGACAAGGATGAAGAAGAGAGCAAAGGATCTGCAACAGCTCTCCTTTAAGGAAAGTTCCCAAAAGGTGTCACATGATACTTCCACATATATCCCATTAGCTAAGACTTAGTCACATGGCCAGACCCAGCAGGGAGAGGAGGCTGGGAAATGCAGTTTCCATGCTAGGCAGCCACATACCCAGTGAGGAACCAAGGGTTGCATCACTACAGAGAGGATAGATAACCAGGGACAACCAGCTGACTCCACCCTTGAAAGGGAGGCTGGATGACGAGGCAGAGAGAGTGCTACCGGTTGCCAGGTACTTTACATATACGTATCTTATCTTATCCCAACCTGAGTAGAGGCTGTTATTATCCCTGACTCCTCAAGAAGCTTGAAGAGTTAAGCAACTTGCCTACGGACATACAGTGACCCTTGGCAGAGCTGCAGTTGAAAACTCTTTTCCCTATATACTGGTCTGGCTGGAAAATCAGGAGAGGATGGGTTCTAGGAGCTGTTGGAAGGAAATCTTTCAACAAAGGAGGGCTTGGTCAACAGTGTCAGAGGCTGACAGGCCAAGCAGGATATGGGCTGAAGTATCTGCTTGGATCTGGCAGCAAGGACACTGTTGGTAACCCTGACAAGGGCATTTAGGAGAAGTGGCGGTGGGGGCTGGCAGCCAGCTGCAGAGGGTGGGATGCAGAGGGAAGGATAGAAGTGTAGGTCTTTCTGGAATGGTGACAGGAAGGTAGAGCAGGAAGAGCTGCAGAGGAACAAGGGCCAGGAGGAGGCAGAAGAGAGGAGCAAATGCAGGTATTGGAGAGGAGAGGCAGCCTCTGCTAGGAGGCTTCTGGGCCAGATAGAAGGGTTGGATACAAAGGAGGAATCCTTTGATCATTCAGGAAGGAAGGGGGCAGGAGGTGCAAAAGCACGTAGGACTGGAGAACAAAGGGAGGGAAAAAGAAGGAGTTCCCCTCTTGTAAAATCTAAAGGATGATTCTTAGCTGGGGAAGAGGGTAGAAAGTCAAGGGCCTGAAGGACAGGGAGAGGGCTGGCCTGTGCTGTCCAATATCATTTCTTACTGCCACTAGCCATGTGTGGTGATTTAAATTAATTAAAAGTAAATAAAATTAAAAATTCCGTTCCTTGGTTTCACTAGCCACATTTTAAACATTTAATGGCCACATGTGGCTACTGACTACTATTTTGGAAAGCACAGATAGAGAATGTTTCCATCACTGCTATTGGGGAGCATTGGTCTAAATGGAATTTGGTGATGGGGGGTTCCCAGAGACCCTAACTGGCCACAGGTCCAGACTGCAGGTCTTGCCCACTCAGGGCCCCTGGAGAATCCTTCCACATTATCTCCATTCAAGACCTTCCTCCCCTCTTTGAGATTCCCTCAAGTCTCTCTTCTGGAGCAGCCAGCCCTGTTCTTATTCCTGCTTTCCTGAGGCTACTCCAGAGAATATCTGCTTGTCTGAGTGCCAGGCCTCTCAAAGCTGTGTGAGGGGTACATGGAGGACCAGAAGGAGCTCTAGTGTTTGGGTACAGTGGCCCATGGACAGAGGTGAGCTGACCGCCAACACTGACCCTGCTGGGCTCAGGGCCTAAGTGTCGACTCACCACTGTCTAACAAGAGATCCAGAGGACCTCAAAGATCTCTCAGCTCAACCCTGCATTCCACAGATGGGGACACCTAGTTTCAGAGAGGGAAAAGTACAGAAGGCAGAAGTTTGTCCTCATTCCTTTTATTGTACTCCACTCCTCACTTTCCCCAGACCTTGTGTTCAGACAGAATTGGTCAGGCCTTAGGTGCTGAGGCTGGGCCATAAGCAGGGAGCGCAGGATTTGGCCAGGGCTCCACCCCAACCCGAGGTAGCTGAGTGAGGATTCATGGCTAGAAGGGACTGTCGTGGCCTGACACACTTAGGGAGAAGCCTAGCTCTGTGGAGGTGCTGTTGCGTGGACCATGTGTCTGTACTTGAGGGCATAGGTCTGTCCAGATGGCTGTGTTTGCAGGGCCCCAGCTGTTCAAAGCCAGAGCGTGGATGGGAGGGGGTTGTGCATGTAGATGAGAGTGTACATGGGGGTGTGTACATGAGACACCATGTGGCTTGTAAGTACACCACACACCTACTCAAAGCCTGCATCTGCCTGGTCAGGCAGGCCCAGGCAAAATCTGATACCCAATTGGGAGCAGTTCTTAAACTTTAGCCTTTACAATGGCCTGGGGAGTTTGCCATCCTTGCATCTCCATGGCCAGCCCTAGAGATTCTGGTTCGGGAGATCTGAGGTCGGCCCAGGTGCCTGCAGTGTTGACAAGCTCCCTAGGAAAATCTGGGGCCAGTAAGAAACAGGGCTCAAGCAGAGCCACCCAGTAGAACCCTCTGCAATATTCTGTGTGGTCCAATATGGCGGCTATTAGGCACACGTATCTATTTAGCAGTTGTAATGTGGCCGGCTAGTTTTAGGAACTGAATTGTTTTATTTTATTCAGTTGAAATTAATATAAATTTAAATGGTCATCTCATCGTGACTAGTGTCTGCCATATGGGAAAGCATGAATCTAGAGACACGAGGCAGTGCAGTGCTTGAGGGCCCAGAGCGAGAAGCACACAGCTCTGATAGAGGAGTGTGAGAGGAGCCCGGCCCAACCCCAGGCTCTCTAGACCAGGAGTGGCTGAGGCTGGAGCAAAGCTCCCTTGGGGCTTGTGGAGTTGGGGCCAGAGCCCAGACTTGAACAGGTCCCTCCCAGTGTCCCCACTGAGCTGGTAAGACCCTAGTGTCTGCCTGGCTAAGAGGGTGGAGAGCTCCCGCAGGGACCATTCTGTCCTGGTTGGGACCCCTCCAGGGCCCCTGCCTGAAGCCTCATGCTGTGTCCAGTCAGGAGTCAGGGGGTGAGGGTCAGGATGTCTTCATGTTCTCCTGCAGGCTCAGGGTGGAGCTGGTGGCTGCGGGGTCACGCTCGCCCTGTGTAAGCATTGGAGGGAACAGAAAGTCAGCCTCAGGGAAGCAGCTGACCCCCCAACACAGACATGTGGACCTAAGGCCTCAGAAAGGCCCCAACTCAGGGAAATCTCTTACCGCCCCTGACCCCATGTGCTCTGCATACTTGAACTTCTTCTGCTTGTAGTAGTGCCTTTTGGGCAGGATATGGAGCAGCAAGAGGTCACAGAGAACCGTGGCCTGAGGGCAAGGAAGGGACAGATAGAGCATGGGAGTCTTGGGGCAGGGACAGAACCCTCCATGTCCCACTTCAATCCTTTCTGGCTGGGGGGCCTGGCTCAACCCTGATCTATCTAGACCTCAGATTCTGGAAGGGGGGGGATGAGGCACTGCATGTTCCTTGGGAGAGCAAGACTACCCCATCCCACTTCGGTCCTGCCCCAGCTCTGGGCCTCAGTTTCTTCAGACATACTCTGGGTCTGGGGTGGTGGGCTGGGCTCAGTAAGGATGGGGTAAACTGCCACTGAGATGTGGAAGGGGAGGGACTGACCTTAGTACAGTGACCCTGTGACCCTAGCACTTACCACCCCAAAGATGCCAATCCCAGAGCCAATGGTTGTCATTGTAGGGATGATGTCAAACTTTCCAGCCTGGTGGCAGGGTCCAGGGAAAGAAGGATTAACAGTCAGAAGGAGCCAGGTAGAAAAGGCCTTTCTCAGAAACCCCAAGGCCAGACTTGGGTCAAGGAGCTCCCCCTTTCTACCCTCTACCCCCACCATTAGCCTGCTCCACAGCCTGCTCCGCACAGCTCTGGCTCTATGTGGGGTCTCAGCTGCTGGTTAGAAGTCCTTGGTTTTGACCTTGGCTCTGCTTCCCTGGACAGAGGGAGGTAGTGGAGGAGGTGAGATCACTGGCTGGAAAGACCTACCCTCAATGGTTATCAGACCCACTGGTTATCAGCAGTAAAACTGCTGAATGAAGCCCAGTCAACTTCCTGTTGTCTATAACCATGTACACCCAACAAGCACTCACAGGAACTAAGAACATGTCTCTGGCTGTCCTTCACACTGGACACCCACCTTGCCATCCACGAGAATGTCAAAGCGAATCCCAAACACCTTGAAGAGGTGGCGGTGGTTAGTCCCGTTCTCCACAAAGTGCCTGGCAAACCTTGGGGGAAAGGGTGAGGTTGCAGAAGAGGGTGATGGAGAACAGTTTTGGGTCCAGTGTTCTTGGAGTTCAGCAGGAGCCCTTAGAGGTCCATGAGAACCATCCCATGCCCCCAACACCCCAGGCCTCATTCCAGGAATGCTGTATCGAATCCTCACCCTAACTCTTGATGTCAGTGATTTCCCCTGCCAGTCCTGGCCAGGTGGGCCTCAAAGGGTGGGGGCTCAGGGTGCCAAGGTCTTGTTCCCTGCAGGCTCCCTGCAGTGGGAGTTGCCCAGCTTCCTCTGCTTTCTTCCTGGGGACACTTACTGGGCCTCAAGGGGTTCTGGGAGTAGAAGACCCACATGAAAACCCTCAACCTTCTGGGAGCCCAAGGAAGGGTGGACCGGTGGGGTCCTGGCAGGCACCTAAAATTGAAGCCTGGAGACAGGTTTTTGTCCTCATACAGTCCATGGAACTCATAGATGGGTTTGCAGTGGTGCACATGCCAGTCCAGGTCACAGTTCCAGTCAATGGTGATGCCGACCACCCCGCCCTGCAGGGAAACCGGTGTTTAAAACCCAGGCTTCAGGATCAAGAAACTCCTGTCTTATGCTGGTGCCAGCAATCTCTTGAAGTGGGGAGCATTTTTTTTGTTTGAGAAGAGACACTGAGGGCAAGGTCCTGTTGCCCGCTCTGGCCCCACCTCCCACCCATCACACTCTGACTTTCTGGTGGTTTCTAGAATATACCAGGTTCTTTCTACCTCAGGGCCTTTGCATATACAGCTCCACGAGGCTGACCCTTTCTTATCCTTTGGTCACTTTCCCTGAGAGATCTTCCCTAATGACCACCTCTAGGCTAAAAATGTGTGCCTGTTAGACCCTCTGTTTTCTCCTGGAACATTTTTCACTTTGAAATCATATATTCATTTTGTGTGATTATTAACCCATCTCTTCTAAGACTATAAACTCTGTGAGAGTGGGGCTGTCTGTCTCATTTGTCACTGACTCCTGAGTTCCTAGTGAAAGTTACAGTGTGGAAGACAAGTAAATAATGTTGAATTAAAGAGTGAGTCTGTAAGGACCTAAGTTAGGAAGAGAAAACTTGAGAAAGTGAAGCTTCTCTGAGCAAGGTGAGGATCGGGGACAGGTGGGGGTAGGCTGAGCAACAGGAGAGCTGGGAAGTGGTCAGAGCAGGAGTGGAGCTGGGCGACTAGGCAGGAGGTAGGTATGCAAGGGTCTGGATGATAGTGAGGGGTGAGAAGGTGGCAGGGAGATTTTAGGAACAGGGAAGTCTAACATTCAGCTTTCTGGTTGTGTAAGTGTTGCTCCAGTATAAACCACCTCCTGGATTTGGGAAACTGAGGCCAAAGGGCCGAACTTGTTTACATATTTTCTGTGGCTGCTTTTGCTCTCTAACAGCTGACTTGAATAAGGTTGGAACAGATGGCCTGCATATGGCCTGCAAAACTGAAACCTCTAGCTCTTTAAAGAAAAACTTTGCTGATCCCTGTTTTAGATAAATGTTTGGTGAGCAAGTTTTGTGTGTATGTGTGATATCACAGGAAAGAAGCTGATTTCCATCCCTAAATAGGCAACAATAAGAAAAGGCTGATGATGATCATGTGGGAACATGTACCCAGAGTCACCACATGCCAGGCGGTACTGAAGTGCCATCCTATGCATGAACCCACTGGATCTTCGAGACAACCCCACAAGCCTGGTACTATTATTATCCCCACTATGTAGGTGCAAAAGCTCAGACACACTCAAGGTAAGAGACTAACTCGTCTGAGACCACATTGTTCATTAGGAGCAGAGCCAGGATTTGAACCCAGTCAGACAGGTCTGTGCTCCTTACAAGGTACTGCTTCTCTTGGAACCCCAGGTGACTGTACAGATCCCAGATTCTGGAATTTTCGAGATTCCCAAGCAGGGCACAGGCCTTCTCAGGGCCATAGAGCATGGAATCCAAGCTGCTTTCATCCCATATTTAAAAAACAGTGTGACCTCAGCAAACATCCAGGTGAAAATGTCTGCCCATAACCATTCATTCTGGAAACTTCCTCTGCCTCAGATCCATACCAACCAGGCTCTGCTGAGGACTCAGGCCTGACCCTCAGACTCCCCCGTATTAGGGAATAAATCCACATATATACTCAGCCCATACCTGAGAGGCTTGAGGGGGCATTACCTGGGATGGAAAAGCCTTCTTTGACCTGCTGATTCCAGGACCTAGCCCTCCTCATTAACCTGGCACCGTACCTTCTCAGCCAGGGTGCTAAAATTCTGTCCTGACTCCTGTACCACATAGCCGAGCTTGAACACGGGACACAGTGGGTGCGAGATCTTGTGATAGAGGCAGGTCTTCATGTAGGCTGCATCCACCTCTTCCACCAGGTTGCGCCTACATAGGGGTGGAGAACATCGGTAGCGGCAGGATGACGGCGGGGTGGGGTGGTGGGGACCACCGTGTCCCAAAGCTCTGAGATTCCTCACAGGCTCCACAAACCCCCCTTCCACAGCCCTTGAGACTACAGGTGGCCCACCCCAGGAGCCCGGCTCAGGCTTCTTCCCCCAAAGTGAAATCCGTCGAAGTGGAAGGTGACAGAGACAGTTGAGACCAGCTGGAGCAGCAGGCTTGGAGAGGGGAGGTGGGTGCCCGCGTTTCTGCCCCCTTTTCCCACAAACCTGTTGACCTTGAAGCGTGGAAAGCTGATGCTGTTCTTGATGAAGAGGGTGAAGTTCTCGGCCTCTTGGAGAAGGGCAGGGCTGGAGGACACCATACTCCCTTACTGTCCTGTCCTCAGGAGTCCCCCATGCGCCCAACAGTGTTTGTCACGGGTATGGGGGTATGAGATCCTATGGGATCTTCCTGGGGCCCTGAAGAGGCGGCGGGGGTGGGGGGCGATGGGTGTGCTGTAATGATGGACTCTCAGGTCCTTGACCAGGGCCCAGAGGGATCATTGGCTTCAGATGGGGTAAGGGTGGGGCTGGAAGAAGGGAGGACAGATCCTTTCCAGAACATGGATCCAGATGCCCCTTTGTCTGGGCGGGGGAACCTGCTCCCAGCTACCTGGACGGATAAGGCATTACCGTGGGACGTTGTCATCCACCTCCACAGGACACCAGCCAAAGATCTCACATGTCTGCACAGTGTCATTGAAGGCCACACACTTGCCTGTGCGTATGCCTGGAGCAAAGGAGGAGCCCGTGGGTGTCCACTCCAAGCTGGGGATAGAGAGGAGGCCCCTCATCCCTGAGAGCCCCCAGTGATGGGACAACAAAGAGCAGAAGCCCGAGGACAGAAATGTGGCTGGGTCTGGGACAGGGCAGGCCAAGGTTAGAATGGCAGGAAGGGAGAGAGCAGGAAGGACTTCCTGGTGGAGGAAGCCTGGAGCTGAACAGAGCTTGTGCAGGGGGACAACAGGAGGCCAACCTTACCTTGGGCCTTCCTTTCTGCCTTCCCTGGAGTGCAGCCACTGTCATCTGTGCATGTACCCCCTTCTGGGTGCTAGGGGAAGGGAGAGTGGCTGATCCCAGGCCTCTCAGTAGTGTCCTAAGGAGAGCCCCTCCCACCACCAGAGCCCTAGGGAAATCATGAGGCAGTGTTAGCTTTGGGGTGAACTTTGCTTACAGCTTCCTTCCCCAGTACCCTCCCAGGACCCCTCTGGGCTCATGCCAAGCTATGCCAGTGTCACCTGGCAGCGACCAGAGACATTAGGGCTTGTGGATTGGGTGGGAACCGTGGCTGAGCATCTTGCTTGACACACAGCTGGGAGGGAAGCATCACTGTCAATAGCAGACTGTTACTTTGTGTGAATCTATGCCTAAAATTCCACCATAGCTTTGCCCTGAGAAAGCCTATCTTCAGTGCCCAAGGCAATTTCCTCTTCCATGATATTTTCTCCTGTAAGGAGTAGGGAGAGGGGATGGATAGCGGTCCTCACCTCTGCACAGTAGCCTTGAGCCTGGTGGGGGGTTGCAATGAAATTGGTCATGATCACGAAGGAGCTGTCCCCCTGGAAATGAGGAGTAGGGGAAGGAAGCTCAGAGTTCTGAGTTGGGAGAACAGCCCCAAGAACACAAACACTGGCCCAACAAGCCCCTGAAATCCACATGGTACCCAGCAGCCTCCATACCCCGTGACATCAGCATGGGTTGATATTACAACCTATTTTTGCCCCTCATTCACAGTCAGAGAAGCTGAGGCCCAGAGGGAGAAGGGAGCTGCACTAGTCCAATATGGAGATTGGACAGAGTCCAACCCCTACTCTGAGCCAGGCCCTGTGGGTGGAATGTATACCCCTGAGTAAGCTTACCTGGGCAGGGAAGACGTAGTCAGCTACATCCCAGACCTGGGGGCCCAGGCCAGGGAGCTGCGTCACAGCCAGACCCTTGAGTTTCACAGACACGCTGCTGATGAGGCCACTTGAGGTCTGATAGCCCTTCTCGTAGACAAACACCCACCTGTTGGGTGTTTTGGGGGTTAAAGGAGTCAGAGCTGGGCCAGGCCATTCAAAGATGGCACGAGGCTGTATGGGCTGCTGCCCTTTCTGGCACCAGCTAGACATTTCAAATATTTTCCCTTCCCCTCACCAGATGAGTCTCTGAGCCATTCTCTGCTTCTAAAGCTACATCTTGGGCTGGGGGCAGGAGAGCCTCACCTGCTTCCCTGGGCTGGCCTGTACCTAATGTTCCCCCCCTCTTTTTACTAGGAAAATACTAATTCCTGGAGAGGAGATCCACTGAAGGACTCTTTCAGATCCTTTTCCAAGAGCAGGATTTGCTGAGGCCTAGAGACCAAGCTTCTTGGACCATAATCCTCATGTCCAGAGTGCTCCTTCCTTCTTGAGATTCTTCCATTGAGAACTAGCAGAGCATGATGGCTGAAAACCTGGCCTTTGTTGCCTGAGAGGATGGATTGGAATCCCAGCTACACTACTCATGGGCTGCGTGATTTTGGATAAGCTATTCAATCCCTCTCTGCCTCAGTTTCCTCATCTGTAAAATGAGAATAACAATAATAGTACTATTTGTACTTGCTGTGACTTACTGCATGTAAATCACTTAGAACGGGGACTGGCATGCAGTAAGCACTACATAGAGATTAGCTATGATTATCTCAGCCATGCTGGGAGCTCCTGGCAAGGGGGACAGGAAGGGAACAGAGGGGTAAGTGGCCTCTGCATTATGTGGCCCCAGTTGAGGTCCTGGTGGAGTGACTCAGGATGGAGGCCTCCCAGATTGCTTGCTTGCTTGCTTGCTTTCTTTCTTTCTTTCTTTTTAAAGATTTTATTTATTGATTTGACAGACAGAGATCACAAGTAGGCAGAAAGGCAAGCAGAGAGAGAGGGGGAAGCAGGGTCCCTGCTGAGCAGAGAGCCTGATGTGGGGCTCCATCCCAGGACCCTGGGATCATGACCTGAGCTGAAGGCAGAGGCTTTAACCCACTGAGCCACCCTGGTGCCCCACTTCCCAGCTTTCCTAGAAAATTCTGGCCTTCCCTTCCTAGCATGAAGAACCCCTGTTCCTTTGGGTTCTCCATTTTCTGTCTGGGAGGGTCAATGAAATTAACCTCCCTCCTAGCTTTGGGTGTAGGGAGGGTGGGGCACATTACCAAGATTTGCCAACCACTGTTCCATTGCCCTGGATAGGTCCAGAGATGGACACACAACCTGGGGAGTTTCAGCAATGAGGCTAGGATTTTTCTGGGAATTATCGGGAAAGAATCCTTTCTGTTAGGTAACTAAGCAAGGTAGCCATAAGACCAAAACTATTGTTAGTCATCTTGCTATCTCACAGAGAGATAAGTCTAAGAATGAAGCCAACTTAGAGGAAAGTTAGGCCAGGAGATGGAAGAGGGCAGTCTCCTGACAATGGTTGAGGACCCGGATCTAGCCAAGCCTGACACATGTTAAAAAAAAATCTACTTCTGGACTTTCCTGTTACACGAGCTAATAAATTCCCTTTCTTTATTTAAGGCAGTTTGGGTTTGGTTTTTGTTGTTTACAACTGAGAGTCCTGGGTATGGTCCATTTCCTTCAAGAAAGACTGCATGATGGCCACGATAGCCAAACTATGGAAAGAGCCTAGATGTCCATCAACAGATGAATGGATAAAGAAGATGTGAGATACACACACACACACACACACACACACACACACACACACAATGGAATACTATGCCACCATCAAAAACCCTGAAATCCTGCCATTTGCAATGATGTGGATGGAGTAGAGGATGTAGATGGAATAGAGGGTATTATGCTAGGAGAAATAAGTCAATCAGAGGAAGACAATTATCATATAATCTCTCTGATATGAGGAATTTGAAAGGCAGGGCAGGGGGGTCATGCGGGGTAGGGAGGGAAAAGATGAAACAAGATGGGATGGGGAAGGGAGACCAACCATAAGACACTTTTAATCTCTGGAAACAGAGGGTTGCTAGGGGTAGGGGGGAGGGATAGGGTGGTTGGGTTATGGACATTGGGGAGAGTATGTGCTATGGTGAGTGCTGTGAATTGTGTAAGCCTGATGATTCACAGACCTGTATCCCCGAAGCAAATAATACATTAAATGTTAATTAAAAAAAAAAAAAAAGGAAAGACTGAATGGAGATGCAGTGTCACTGTGTTTGAGTGTGTGTGACCATTTGTGGTACCCATCAGAGTGTGTAGCTCTGTATCTCTGGGGAAAATCTGTGGCTCTGACTGCCCAAGCAGAGTTCAAAGACCCTCTCCTGTGTCCCAGAGCACAGGTCTCATTGCAATTCTCTGGACATCTTAATCTCAGAGTCAGTGCTAGGTCTCTGGGGGTGGTCTCCCAGCCCTGGGCTCCAGGAAGTCAGCCTACCCAGATTTTCCTCTCCCCCACCATGGTCTCCACTTTATCTTCTCCAGGCCTCTCCCCCAGCTTGGCCCAGGAGGCGCCCTTCCCAAGCCTGAACATGGTCACTGCTGCCCCCTGCAGGTCCCAGATGGCACCAGGTAAGGCAGGACAAAGGCTTCCAGTCCCAAGTGCTTCCAGCCTTATCAGGGAGACTGGGCGCATCACCTACCCCTACCCTCCTCAGCCTCCTTCCTTCAAGGAAGATCCTGACTCCATGCCCAAGCTCAGAGGAGCTTTTGGGGATTCTGGGGAGCTTCTCCATGTTCTGAACCCCTCTAAATAGTGGAGTAACCAAGAGTGTGGCCCCCAAAGTGTAACAGAAGCCATGATTCAGTTATCAGCACTGCCACTCAGCGCCTGTGTGACTTTAGCCTCACCAGGCTAAAGGCTAAACCTCTCTGAGTCCTGGCTTTCTCAATAAAACAGATGTGATGGCACTTACCTCCAAAATGCTGCTTTTTATTCAATAAATATGAGCAAGACCCTCCTATGTACTGAGCTATGGGCTGGGTCGCAGGAAGAAAGCAAGTCTAAATGACTGGGGGATTTCCCATGAGTTCTCATTAACGAAATTAGCATGCAGTAGGCACATAATAAATAATCCTCTTATTTTCACTGTCTTGAGTCTGTAATTCCTCTTAATATATTCACCTGCCCCCATCCCCCTGGCTTCTCAGCCCCAAATTTTTATCTCCACTTCTGCACTCTCCCTGGAGATCTAATTCCACACATTCATTGGTGATTCAACAAGTATTTATTGATTGAGTCCTTATTATGTGCCAAGCAGTGTTCTAGGCACTAAAAATACAGAAGTGAACAAAGCCAACCAAAATTCTGCACTCAACAGTCTTACATACATGTCTATATGACACAATATTTTGTGATACCCATTCCTTCTCCCTCCCCTGGTCCCTCACCGCAGACATCACACAGGTACCTCAAATTCAGCTCAAACCCTTGCAAAACAACCTGGCAATTCCTCAAAAAGTTAAGTATGGAATTACCACTTGACTCAGCAAAATACCCAACAGAACTAAAAATACTTCCCTATAAAAACTTGTACACAAGTGTTCACAGAAACATTATACATAAGAAGCAAAAGTGGAAACAACCCAAATAACTATCAACCAATGAACAGATAAATCAAATGTGACATATCTATACAATGAAATAGTATTCAGCCATATAAAGGAAGGAACTACTGACACATGTTATAACAAACATAGGACTTTACAAATATTATGCTAAGTAAAAGAAGCCAGACACAAAAGGCCACATATGATTTTATTTCTATGAGATATCCAGAGCGGGCAAAGCAGGCTGTAGAGAGAAAAAATGAAGAGTTATTGCTAAGGAGTACAGAGTCTCTTTCTGGAGTAGTGACATGTTGTAGACTAGATAGTGGTGATGGTGACACAACTTTGTGATTATACAAACAAGCACTGAACTGAATATTCCTAAAGGGTGAATGTTATGGCATTTGACTAATATCTCAGAACAAAAATTCAGTGGGACCAGCCTGAGTGCTTCATGTGCCCTGCAGAACTTGCCCCTCTGGTGCCCTCGTCTTGGACGATGGCACTATGCCTACCCCATCCTCCTCAAAGCCTCACACCCTCGTTTTCTATTATCCCCACATTCTTTGTGGCCCTCTGTCCTCTTGGCTTTCATCTAAGGACCGAAAGGGGTTTTGCTGTGAGACGCTGAGACACAGAGGAGCTGGGACAGATGCGAGGGAAACTCTGGTGTGGGGATGTGACAATATGTTATGGCTGGTGGGGACACAAGGTGCAACCATGGGCAGGAGCTAACCAGACCAGGCAGATGCTATGGGGCACAGCAGCCTTGGGAAGAGGCAAGACCAGACTCCAGGCCCAGGAGGGATTGAGTTTAGAGCTGGGCCCCACACTGAGTGTTTGGAGATTAGTCTACATGTTGTCTACAGATAAATTAGGCTGACAATTCATGTTTAAACATTTTTTTAATGAGTCACCAACCTCTAAATACCAATAGGCTCCTTTTGCTCATAAATTCCAATTTCTCACTGCTCTTAAGAAGTCAAAAACTCTGGCTGTGCTGGGCCATGAACTGCTGCGGCAATAATGGGCAGAAACTAAGCAATGGGCACCCCCTCCACACACACACACACCCCTCCCTGGTGTGGGGCTCACTAGGATGACTACTTCTGTTTTCCATGCTCACTCCTTCTGCCTTGGCATGGCATCCTCCTCCCCTCCTGCTCCCTCCCCAACCCCTGCTTGCCCTGGGCCTTCCCCTGCTAGACTTCCTTCTATGGCTCCTCAAAATCTGTAGGAGAAAGCTCATGTTCTTCAGCCTGGCATTCAGAGGCCTGAATCAGTGGCTGTACTCACCCTTCCACCTCCTTTCCCTTGGGTCCTTTCATGCTCCACAGCCTAACCTTAGTGACTCTTTTACTGTTCTTTTCCTGCCCCAGAGCCTTTGATCACTCTTGGATTTCCAGCAGGAGTACCTGGACCAGGTAGACACATGACGAGACTCTACCTACCAACAAGGGTTTTTCATTTCCTTGGCCATAACAATTGGTTTTGTAGTAGGCATTTGGTCTGATCCCTGCCAGTAAGAATTAGATCTGGGACTTTTGCTGGAACTCTGGAAAAAAAGATAGTCTTATGCCCTAGAGATGGCTAAGCTGGTGAGATGCCAGGTTGCAGATGCTGGTGGTCATTTTGTCACTATGAGGACAAAGAGACTGCCTAAGAATGAAGCCCAGAAGATAGTAGAGCTGGGAAGAAGAGAAAATCCTGGCTAGCTTCTTTGGAGAACCCAAATGGGACCCACCTGAATTCCCCATCTCCCTATAGAACTTGCTCTTCCTGTGCCCTCGGCATGGAGGATCCGGCCAGGCCTGAAGCCTTTACTGATTTTTTTTTTTTTTCAGTTGCATAAACCACTTGATAGCCCCATTCTTCTCTAGGAACCAAAGGAATACTGGATAACTCATCCTCCACTCCTCACTTTTCCTTTGGTCACCCTGTACCCCACCTCTGTTGCATGGATCCCAGCACAGCAATAGGCACAGAGAAGATGCTGTAGAAATGTCGCTGGATGTATTTTTCCAATCAATAATTTGTATCTATCCTTATGCCTGATTAGTATGCTGAGGGACCCATTTGAAAATTCAGAAGCATGCAAACTCAAGAGCTCGTGTGGAGGTAGATGAGGGAGGAGGGGGTACTGGCAAAGAGAAAGCCAAGAGCACGCTTGCCTGGCTTATAGCCCCCAGGCTTTTTTGCTCAAGGCTGGTTCCGCCACTCTGTTTTCTCTTCCAGGAAGCTTTCCAGGCTCCATTTACCAAGTAGCATTCACAAATCCCATTGGGACCTCCTGTGTACCGCAGTCAGACCTCTGTCCTCCCCAAACCAGAGCCCTCCAGGCAGGGATATATCTCAGTACACTCCTTGTTTGGGCCTGTTAGGTCATGGATGACAGCCCATGTATACTGCCTCTACACTGAGTTACAGAGAGCTCATCACCTCCCAGGAGACAGTTCTGACTGCAAATTAACCAATTTGAGACAAAAAGAGTGTGATCTTAGCTCAGCCCACCAGGGCCTCAAGGCTCACTTGCTCCCTCCATTTGCCATGGACTCTCCAGAAGAGTGTGACTGATAGAGAACACAGCTTCAGTTTGCCTTCTCAGTGTCTGCTTGGGTTCTCAACATCAGCCTCTCTGCCTCTTAGTAATTGGCCATCTCTCAGTCTCAGGACCTCTTTCTTCATCTGAGTGGTTGTGTGTCAGTGTCTGTTCCTCTGTCTGGTTCTGTCTTTGTGTCTGCCCACCCTCCATCTTGTTTGTGCCTCTGTCTCTGGAATGCGGGAGTCTGGCTCTTCTCCCATTCTCGCTTTTGTACCCTGCAGCACCCACGGGACCAGACATTCAGACAGACAGGGGCCTCGGGAAGAGGGCTAATTAAGGAAAGGCATCCCTCCTCAGAAACAAGCCTGTGTGCAGCATCTTTAGAGGGTTCCCCCAAACCTTGGTCCATGGAACAGTTGGGAAACTAAAACTTGGGATAGTGAGACCAAGTCCAGGCCGGTTTCTGTCTGCAAGTGAGCAGTGAGCAAAGCAGCGGGCAGAGGCCGGACAAGGGTGCTAGAGACGGCAAGAGTTGTAGTCAGAACAGAAAGTCTGGGCTTGAGGGTGGGGTTGTGAGGGGTGGGTGTTGTGGGGGACCCTGCCTTCCGCTCTCCACTATATGACTTGGGCATGTCAATGCCCCACTCCCAGGATGTTTCCTTTCCAGGCTATGAAGGCCAAATTTGGAGCCATGCAGCTAGATTCAAATCTGGTTCAGCCTCTTTCCGGTTGTGAGATCCAGACTAAATCACCCAGTGTCTCTGAGCCTCAGCAACACTGAGGAGGCCACATCCATGTGGAAACCGAGTAGACTATCCTTGTGGGGAGGAAAGCAAGGAGGGAGGTAGGCAGGTCTCTGTTACTGGAGGTATGTGTTCAGGACTGGATGTTGGCTTGCGGGATATGGTACAATGGGGAGTGGTGTGGGAGGACTGTCACTTTCCCTCTCACAGTCTGTCACCAATGCACAAGAGGGCCCTGGCACTGCTCCCACTGCTGACTTAAAGCAGAAATAAGAGGCAATAGGGCCACAGTGAAGACAATATTCTCCAACCTCTTCTGGTGAAGCATGGGCTAGGCCTGGGCTGGCAAGCTCTCTTTTCCCTGGAAGGTCAGGAATGTAGCTAATGCTGAGCTTTTAGGCCCATCCTGTGCTTGGTATCAGAGCATCAGTGTCCCATTACAACGTTCTCAGAGCCCTAGTGAGGTGGGAAAGGAGAAGGCAGTGCTGAGGACTGGGGGTCAAGAGGCCTCAGTTCTAGCTGGGACTTGCTATGTGACCACTACTCCTTTCTGGTCCTCAATTTTCCTCACAAGCTCAAATGGCATTACAGATGTCAAATTGGTCTGTGAACAGGAGGGAAGCAGAGGCCAAAAAGTGGCACAGGGTTAGCTCCTGGCTTGGACTCCACCTGAGCAGCTCCGAGGCCTTGGGGGCTGGACAGGGTAGAGGGAGAGATGTTTTGGATATCAGAGGCCCTGGAGGGACCAGAATGATATGGTCACTGTCTGGCCTTCTAGTCAGCCCACGCTGGGCTCTAGTCCCACAGCAAAAATGGGGACATGGACAGGAGAGGGGCAGGGCCCTCAGAATCCCACAGCACAGTGATTCTGCTGGGTATCCCCAAACCCTGTTAGCAGGAGCTGAAACTCCCTCATTGGCCCTGGGAGCTCCAAGAACCCTCTGCTGTATCACCCTGACTAGACATTATGGCCCCCCCCGCCACCGCCGGGGCACCCACATCAGGTGCCCAGTCACCTTAGCCACACGACATACACATGTGGGTACTCAGACACAGGGAAACACCCAGCAGCCACCCCGTAGGCATGTGCCCCAGACACAGAACATGCGCATCCACACAGAGCTCCAGGTATGACACACATACATACACACACCACCATGCACATGTGTGCTCACGGAAGCACACGTATGTGTAAGCCATGGTCAGGCCTGTCCTGGCTCCCAGGATGGCAAGACTGCAGGGGGATACCACCTTACTTCTGCCTCTGCTCTCCTGGGACAGTGGGACAGGTCTCAAGATGCTTAGAAAGGAGCAGTCATCCCTGGGACCAGAAATGACCTCTAATCCCTGCCTGACGGGCCACCATTAAGGTACCAGGTGTTCTGAATTTGGAAGTTTCTTTACTCTGGGGGTTTCAAGTATCTCAGGATGCTTCTAATTTAGGCAGGGCAGGTGGGAACAGGGCCTGTCCTATAAAATGGGGTGTGGCTTTTAAAACGGGGTGTGTCTGCGTGGCGTGGCAAGGAGGTCAGAAGTAGAAGGACTCTGGTTGTGGTTTGCTAGGGCCCTGGCCTCCGGCACCACTCACCACTTGAGAGACCGTTAATAGTGAGTCAGTTCCTTAGGGCCCAACGGCTTTGCCTCTTGTTCACCATATGACCCAGGGCAGGACTTCCCCTCTCTGCTGAACTGTCCCCATCTTGACAGTGAGTTAGCAGGCTTTCATTCCTTCTGAGTAACACTACAGTCTGTTAGGGAGGATGACAACCAAGGAAGAGAAAGAGGTGCTCCTTGGGGTCATGGGGGCCTCCCAGAGCCTGGAGGAGAGGCCCAGGTTGGAAGCTGGTACAAGAAGGGTGGCAGGTAGGGGGCCCAGACTCACCCAACAACGTAGACCAGAACCACGAGCTGGATCAGGCGGAAGACGACGCCCACCTTCTTGTTGCGCACGAGCACCATTCGGGGAGTGTCATACTCAAAGAAAAAAGCAGCCAGTTCATCCTGGAGCCGCTGTGCCATGGTGGGCCAGGCTGGGGCCTGAGAACTGAATCCTTTGCACAGCCTTTGCTCTTGAGGTGAGCCGGGTGTCAATGCCCACGTCTACAGTGAAAGCCCAGGGGCTTCCTGACCCCTTAGGAAGGATAGGGCAGGACAGGGCAGCTGGGGCCAGAGGTCAGGAGTCAGGGGTCAGTTGAAGGCACTTGGGTTGAAAAATATAGAGTCCTTGGGTGATCAGAGCAGCTCTTGGCCCCTGGCAGGCAATGGACTGTGGGCCAGCAGTGTCTGTGGACAAATAAATTCCCAAAGATAGATGGGGGCGGGGCTGGTGGGGCCACCCAAGCCCAGCCCCACAGCTCCTTCTGGCTCCGCCTGGGCCCTGCTGAGCCTCCGGAAAGAGGAGCTGTTGGCAGGAAACCACGGGCCACCCGTCACAAGGCAAAGATAAAGCTGTCAGCCCCCCATGAACCTGGGGGAACAGAACAAGGCCAGGACCTGGGTGGAGAGGCCTCAGGCTGAAGCCTTCCCCAAACCAGGAACCCATTCCCCTAACCAAACATCCTCCCCATTCTACCGGTGCCCCCGAGGGGGGCGCTCAGTCTCTGGGGGGTTTGTGGCCAGCAGAGCAGAAGAGGAAGCAGGGCCATTTCTGGAAGTATCAGCTGTCTGATGCTTCCAGTGCCTGCAGCAGGCCCCCCACCTCTGTCCTTAGAGCCCAGCTTCCATCCACCTGTCGCTCTGAGTCCAAGCCTGGCCTTTGCCCAGTCAACCTTAGCATTGGCTGGCATCTCTATAGCTCCTCTCTTCTCTCCCATCATTTATTCTGTCCCAGCCACATCTCCACCTCCCAAAAACAAGCAGAAGGAGGCAAGTGCCTAGAAGATTCAGGGGCCACATATTGCCACTGGGCTCCTGAGACAAAAGCGGGAAAGCCTGACATTGACATCAGACAGCCTCAGTTAATATCCTTGGCTCTGCTACTAGCTGCCTGCGAGGTCTTGGGTAACTTGCCTCACCAGTCTGAGCGTGCATCCTCATCTGTGAAATGGGGATGATAATGGGATTCCCCTCATAGGTAGAGGCCCCAAGGGGATGGGTCCCAACAACACTGAGGACAAAATCCTGAGGCTATTATTGATCTTAAGGTACAGACCCTCTGCAGACCCTGTCTTCAACCACAGCCCAGGGCAAGAATGCAAGGACCCCAGGGGACTGGGGGCGGGACACAGGTATTACATTTGCTTTTGGAGCCCTAGAGCTGGAGGCCTCCCCTGACCCAATGCCTTATTTTGCAGATGAAGAAATGAACTCAGAGAGGAGAAATAAATCGCCCAAACTCACCCTAAGCAGTACTAGAGGCCTCAACTTGAAGCAGGAAGGCCTCTCTCGTTGGCCATCAACCCTGCCAGGTGTTCTTGGGGCTTCCTCTGGAGATGGGAGATGGAGGCTGGGTGTACCCTGGGGGTGTGGGGAACTTCCCTGCAGTCCAAGGTGCCTCACTATGAATCTTCTTCCTGGCAAGCCTTTAACTGGGAAATTGCTCTAGGCAGGGAGCCAGGCTTCAGGGCTGGAAATCCCAGCTGCCTGTCTGAGTAGAGCTGCTTTCCTGGCAGCAAGGGCCTCCACAGAGGGCAAGCCCACGGCCCCTTCCACCACCCTAGACCAGTCTCCCCTCTCAAACAGATCAGCCTCATCAATCAGGCCCAACTGTCTGTCCAACATTACCTTCAAGAGGGGCAGGTCAGAACCATTTCCTGGGCTTTCTAAGGAAAAAATCCAGAGATGCTAGGAGCCAGGCCTGTGGGTGTAATGTCCTCTTGGCCTGGTCTTGATCCCAGACAAAACGGCCTACTCCCTTTCCAGGTGATCCCATGGCTCTTGGAATAGCAGGTCCCAGGACATGAATTGCTTGCAATCAAGCATGGGGGTGGGTGCTGATGCTGTACAGGAGCTGTCTCTGTGTCCCCCTCCACCCATGATTCCTGGACATTCAGGAGGGTAACAGGCACTAGAAGAGGTGGGCAGAGGGGAGGAAGGAGAGGAAAGGAAGTCAGACAGTCATTCTCCAATCTGCACCTGCCCTTTTCACATCATCATCATGATCTCATCCACCTCCTCCTTCACCCCCTCTCCCCACTTCCAAGGAGCCAGGCTTCTGACAGATGGACTAATGGAAAGATGGCTTCCTTTGCCTGGCTAAATTTAGCAACCACTGGAGCACAGAGGGGCCTATGCCCATCCTGAAGGCCAGCCCAGGTCCTCAAGCAGTTCGGCACAAGGCTCCGATGGGTCTCCTTAGATACTCAGACACCCTTGCCTGGAGCACACACCTGTGTGTGCTCCTGTGCTCCTGTTAGAGCCTCAGTTCTGACCTTGACAGTTAGCAAACAGACTATCATGGGGGACTATCTCATTTGGGATTGTCATATCCAAAGCATGCCCAAAATAAAAAGAAATAAGAGCAATTATATTCATCTTCCCAATTATAAATCTTTTTTTTTTTGCTAATAACTTTGCCAGAGTACAACAGGCAGCTGCTGGGACCAATACCTCTTTCACTGGTTCTAAAATACACCTTTCCATCCAGGCCTATGCTTTCCCTCCTTGCCCCAACTCTGGCATCCCCAAGAACAGACATCTGTGATTATTCTAGGCATTGTCAGGGGGTGGTACAAAGATGAGCAGGCCAGGGATCAGAGTTTACAGGGGACACAGTACTTTCATACTCAGCAGATTTCTTTTTTAAAACAGCTCCCATGAAGTAGGTACTGGAACCCCCATTTTACAGATAGGGAAACTGAGGCTCTAGAAATTGAGTGGCTTGCCCAAATAGCTCCCATGTCTGCTTGTGGCTGGAAAGGAGGCTCCCCAAAGTCTGAGAGCTTGGCCAAGAGCCCACCCCAAGACTCCAGCACTTGAGAGCTGCTAGACCTGCCTTATAAGCCCAAAGGCCGAGTGGCCAGCTCCAGTAGTGGGCCAGACCTTGTAGGGAGACAAGGCAATGCTGCCAAGACCTCAGACCCAGGACAGCCTCCTCTGCCTGGCTAAATTTAGCAGTTCTGTGGAGTGTGGAGGGGGCCTGTGTCCACCCTGGAGGCCAGCCCAGGCCCTCAAGGGGGTTGGCACAGACTCCAGTGGGTCTCCTTAGCCATTCGGCATCCCAAGGTTGCGGGGATGACACCTCTGCTTGCAGACTTCAGTCCAATTCCCCACGCTGGGCCCGTCAGTGTCCCAGGGCTCACTCAGTGCCACCCAGCCCCTTAGATGTGAGCTAGAGTAGGGCCCTGGGTCAGCCTAACAGAGACTGTCAAAGGGAGGTTGGGGGAATGGGGATCTATAGGGAAGCTGCAGCAGGGGTCCTCGTGCTTTGTTTCTCCTCTTGCCTAGACCTTGCACAGCTCCTCTGGCCTTTTCTAACCATCCCCCACCCCCAACTATGAGCTCCTTCTCCCCAGCATCTGAGCCATCACAACCCTCTGGTTTTCCTCCATCTTTTTGGGACATTTCCTCTTGGTCCGCATCCTCTTCCTGTCCCTGGAATGTGGGGACTCCTTGGGGCTCATCTAGCTCCTTGCCCCTCAAACACTCAACACCCCTTGGGAGGCTTGTCTCCTTGCCTCCTGAGGTTGCTGAAACCTCTAACCCACATGACAGCCACATGCCCACACCCCTCCTCTGGCTACTACCTCTTTCTTTTCTTCTAAATCAAGCTGCATTGAGGTATAATTGATGTACAGTAAAATGTACCCATTGTAGGCACACAGTTGAATGAGTTTTGACAAATGCATATAACCCCTGGCATCATGATCTGTCACCCTAGAATGTTCCCACCTGCTCTTTCGCTGCCAATCCCTCCCCGACCCAGACAATCACTGGTCTGTTTTGTCACTACAGATTTGCTTTGCCTTTTCTAGAAATTCACAGAGGTGGAATTGCACAGTACGAGCTTCTTTCACTCAGCACAAGGGGTTAAGCTTCATCCACGCTGTGGCTACAGCATATAGCTGTAGTCTGCTCCTTTTGATTGCTGAGCAGTATTCTTTTGTGTGGGCATACCACAGCTTGTCCATCTCCTGTTGATGGTTATTTTGGTTGTTGCCGGTTTGGGGCTATGATGAGTAAAACTGCCAGGGTTCAGCTCTTTGTGTGGGGATTAGGTCTTCATTTCCTAATTTTGCCCTTCCATTCCTCCCAGTGAAGCCCCAACAGTCTCTCCTACCCCTCTGTGGGGTACAGTATGGGAGGCATGGGGAATAATACAACATGGGCCAATGGAGGGGGCAGAGTGAGGCCTTGGGCATTTTGGCAGCTGCCCTCCCTGAGCCAGTGAGAAGTGTGCCAGGGCTTACCCTGGAATTCCCTCTTGGGTGAGTGGCTGTGAGGTAGGAAACCTCTGTTTACCTTGGCTGCTCAATCTTGACCTGTCAGGCTCCATGCTGTGGGCTGGCAGGGCTGCACTTGTGCATGCTGGTCATGAGCTCCAGCAGCTGATGGGAGTAGCAAAGCCGGCCTGTCTCCTAGCCAACCCTCCAAGCCCATCTCAGCTCCATGCTCTGTCTGTCTGCCATGATGGAGCCAGATAGACAGTCTGGCTTTCAGAGAGCTTTGGGGTCTTCATCTGTAGATGGGGCCCTAACCCCTGCCTGGCCCGTCTCAAGGAGTCAGTTGGGTGCCCAGGGAGAGGAGGCGTATGGAATGGTTTTGGGATCTGAGAGGCCTAACGGATGGACTGTGCAGAAGGAAGAAGCCTTCTGCCCATCCTTGGCTCCCACTGTGAACTATGCACCAAATGTTGTCCTTCCCCGAAATAAAACCCAGGAGCTCCTGAGGGTGGGTTTTGTCTCTTCCAGCCATAGCACCTATGCAGCTGCACAGAACCCCGTGCCCAGAAAGGCCCTGCATTTTGTTTTCATACTCTGCTGTCACTGCTAGGAAACTCTTAATTGCTAAACAAGGGATCCACATTTTCATTTTGTACTGAGCCCCACAAACCACATAGTCAGTCCTGCCTCTGGCTCTGTGGGCAGGGCCTGATTTCCCTTTGCAGGGCA